TCAAAAACTGAACACAGTCTTCATGAATGTAGGATTCATTGCAGGGATGTTGTATTAGATTGCATTAATTTAAGCTAGGTGTACGTTATAACCTGGCAACTAAGTTTATTGTATAGTATCAAGTCTTTTTCTACGCTGTATGAGGCCATTCCAAAGTAAAGAGAACTTTATTTTTCACTACTGATTGTCTGTCGTAATGTTTAAGCTCCACAGCTCTCATGCTCTTTTCTTTTTTTCTTTTTCTTTCAGCCATCATTTCAGACTCAAAGGCCGCCTACCAAAATGCCTTTGATATCAGCAAAGAAGAGATGCAGCCCACACACCCAATCCGTCTTGGTCTTGCCCTGAACTTCTCAGTTTTCTACTATGAGATCCTGACCTCACCTGAAGAGGCCTGCCAGCTGGCAAAAAATGTATAAACATCATAGAACTCTTTTCATACTTATGGGGATATTAAACTGCTCATCATTTAATGCAAATGTATAAACATCTCTTATTTTTTATGACTGAATGTACAGCTGTTGTTAAACATGTGTTTTGAATCCTACAGGCTTTTGATGATGCCATTGCAGAGCTCGACACACTGAGCGAAGATTCGTACAAAGACAGTACACTAATCATGCAGCTACTGAGAGACAACTTGACAGTAAGTTTTTCTGACTTTCCATTTCTCAACTTAACATACTGACTTAATAACATGAACAGCTTTTGTGCACAAGCTAAAAATGTAGATTATTGAAACTAGGACTGCAACTAATTATTATTTTCTTCATCAATTAAGTCTACTGATTCTTCAGATATCAATAAGTCTCATGTAAAGTATTTTTCTGGCCACAGTGGAGTGGAGACTATCTAGTACCCTTAACTCTCCATTCAAATGAAAATCAAAGTCTTAAAATGAGTTATTAATTTCTCTTGTTCTCCTCCCTATCTCTGCTTCTCTTTCTTCTGCTTGCCCCTTTTCTTGCCCCTCAGCTGTGGACCTCTGATAACCAGGGTGAAGGAGAGGATATAGAGGAGCCCAGAGATTGAGCAACCCCCATAGCCATCCCCGTCTACCTGCCATCGTCCCGGCTCATCTTCATCACGATCATCAACACTGACACCACCTCATGATCATCATTGTCGTCCAACTCTCTCCCATCTTTTTCTATTTAGTTCTCTCAACACATCTCACTCCTATCGGTTTACTATTCCTCTTTTGTAGTAACTGGGTGGAAAGGGGATGGGGAGGGAGGGTAAGTTTTAAATTGTGTGGCGGGAGGGTCCATGTGGAAGGGTAAAGTGTGTTTGGGGTTGGGTCACTTGTCTGCTGACCTTCTTTTGTGTGGGAGCAATAGAGGTGGTGTGTAAGAGAGCAAGTTCTCAAATCATGAAACATGCAGCAGGTTGAGTTTTTAGAGTCAGAAAACTGTATTCTGTACGTGTATCCTATTCATATTAACGGTCCTGTTCTTGATTAACACCATCTTTTGATGATATCTGTGGTTTCACAAAATCAGGAGTTAGCTCCTCACACCTTAGGAGACAGCAGCTGTTAGTTTGTACTTGGCAGGAGGAATGACGTGGAGATGTAACGGGGTGTGCTGGAGACAGAAGGCAAGGTTTTGTTGGAACACAAAGGTTACATTCCATTTACTGTCAGTTTCTCAACTTTCTACTCTTTATTATTTTGTTTTGTTTTGGGGTGACCTGCTTTTGTATTTCTATGTATCAATTACGAGGTATAGAAAACTTTGAGGAACAAAAGAGCACACAAGCTTGTTATTGTTGTTTTTATGAGCACAGCAGTAAAAAAAAAAATAAAAAATCCCACGTGCTTATCTAGTTACTGCTTTTTCAAATTACGATTTTTATTTGTTTTGTCTTTTATTCTCCTTTTTTTTGTTTCAATACTTGCCTAAACTGCATGTTGGTAGTTTGTGGAGATGTAAGGAAGGTTGTTGTCGGGCGGGCTAGTTTTGTTCATGTCTTTGGAATTTTCATACAGAACACCCAAGCATAACTGTTATTTGGGGGGAAATGTGTAATTTCATGTAAGTGGAATAAAAAAATAATTTAAAAGTTTCAACTTGTCTATTTGAAGTGATACAATGGTAGTCTGGAGTGGTCGAACAGCTCTCTGCAGTTCCCTTTAATGACTCTCTGGAGTGGTTATCTACTTTAAAAACCAGTACGTTTTGCTGTATTTGGATGGGAAATCCAGCAACCACTAGAACTGAGCTGCTCTATTTTCTGTGACTCACTGTACAAGAATAAGTGAGTCACCCTGAGGTGGAGACCGGGAGCAGACGAGGGGACCCACAGAAAGTGTCTGTGTCTCCAATGCAAATACCCCACTGTTGCTGTGGTCAATGATGCCTTTTGTTCCCTTGTGGTGTGTCCAAATACATGTTCAGACTTGTTCTTGGTGGAAAAACCAAAGATTTCCTGTACCCAAGAAAAACAAAAAAACTACACTACAAGCACAGAGGCCACACCTTTAAATGTAGAGAGCCTGTGAAGACAGGAGCGATGAAGATTTACAACTGCAAACTCTCACTGACTTCTAATAGGCTGAGCTAATAAAAGAACACTGTGCAGAGCCGTAACCATCTCATGGGACTCTAACAACCTTGTGTCTTATTCCAAAATCAAAAAGCCAGTCAGCTTGCTTTGCTGCCACTGCTTGGATGAACAGCCGAAGGGAGACTTCAATCCTGTGTCTGCCCCACTGCCAGTATTACAGGAGGACGCTGCAGTGGTACCACAGAGGAATGTTGATCTGCAGTGCCATATTCTCCTAAACCCTCTCTATGAGGAAAACAGCAACCCTGCAGCCAACTGTTCCTGTTGGCTCTCACTCAGTCTGCACATAAGTGTCCTGTGGGTGATTCATAACAATAGGTATTGTAATAAACATTCATATCATCATAGGCTTATCGATTAATAGTTGTCATGAAATTGGCGCCCCCTGTGGGTGTTAAGTCGAAGTACCTTTCTAGAAGTGGCTGGGGATTTGAATTTCCAGGGCTAACTACAGTGATGTAATATTTACTGTTAGTGTAACAGGGTCCATTAATGATCTGATCAATATTGGGCAGAGCTGATTTTATAGCTGCTCCACTTTAGACTAGGTGATTGTCTGTCCGATGTGTGAAACTTACTCAGTCAAGCCAAAACTGAGAAAAATATGTGCTTTAATTCATAAATGCATAAAACACACACAAACAATTCGGCAGAGCTGATGCATTTTATTTCAGCCAAGGTGTGTTCAAAAAGACTATAACAAAACTATATCTAAATAGACCTCCCATTCTCTAGAGCAAACGTCTTAAAATCTATATTCTCACCAGTTAGGTGACATAAACCACCGAGAACGACATTCTAGAAGATGAGAGACTTCTTATGGCACTTAATACCTATATATGGGATATATATATATAT